TTTCAGTTATCCTTCTTAATGAAATAAATTACTACTACAAGCATACACAACAATTCTTTGTAATTTGTCTTTAGAATTCATCATATATAAAGTAAACTATTTACTTTTCTAATTAGGTTTTATTAACCAAATGTTTAAATCTATCTTAACCTTTATTATTACCTGAAAATAAGCAGTCAATATTTATAGAATCATGGTTCATCTAATCAAGCAGAAGGTTTTAGAAGCAATGATATGGGTAATACTCTCCACTACTCATAATGTAAAAATCATTCTATAAATGCATTGGTTTTGCATCAGGTAATCCTAGTTTCAAATTCTAGCTCAGCTACTGAATTTTTATGTATCTTTGGACAAATTACTTCAAGTATCTGAGTATCAGTTTTCTCCTCTGTAGAATGGCATTAATGACACTTAGCTCATAAGGATGATGTAAGGATAAAATGAGATGTATGTGAAGTGTGCACCTCAATGCATTGGCCACTACATGCATCCCTTATTCTTCTTTCTTCTCACCCCCTCCTCTCTTTTTGTCTAATAACTGAAACAAAGCCTACAGATACAGTGTGAATAAAATGAATTCAGTGGAAATAAAATTGCATTAAATTTCATAGAAGAGACAGACTTCCAGTGAAGATAGTGAGAACAATTCTCTAACCAGCAACCCCTGTTCCCTCAACATGCCTTCTACAGGGAAGTCATTTTCCTCTTAGCACGAACATCACTAGGTTTGTGGTTTAGTAAAAATATCAATTATTTTATCTCATATCTCAAAACCATCACCTCTACACCAAAGAAGTGCCAATGATAAATGTTATTTCATTGGCAAAATAGAGTAATTAATAATTTTATATATCTTTTTAATGCACCAACTATTCAAGATATAAAAATTATTTGACTTCCACAAAAATATTCTTTGCTTTATGGAAATATCTGCTACAGATTATTTTAAATATCAAGCTCTCCAGTGAATTAGTTTTTACTACTAAATGTAATGACTATACATTGTAATTATTTTCAAAAATAAAGATTGGGAGAAGAACATGTATATTGGCTATGGTTCCTTTCAGACTCTTTTTTGTTTTATGCATGAATTTTAAATATAATTAGAAAATGATCCTATAGAAACAATTCTGTAACTCATTTTAATACATTCTTTCACAAACTACACTAGTTCCTTCTTATCCGTACAGGGTATATTCCTAGTGGATGCCTGAAACTATAGATAGTACAACACCCTACATATACTATGTTTTTTCCTGTACAAGCATACCTACAGTGAATTTTAACTTATCAATTAGGAACAGTAAGAGATTAACAATGATAACTAGTGATTGAACAATTATAACAATATACTGACAAAATTATGTAAATGTTGTCCTTCTCTTGCTACTGCCACGATTCAGTTAGTACATACAGAATAGATAAATTGGACAAAAGAATGATTCATGTCCTGGATAGGATGGGGAAGATGCTGAGATAATTTATCACACTACTCAAAATGGCAATTTAAAGTTTATTATTTATTTCTGGAATTTTACAGTAACATTTTCATAGCGTAGTTGACCACTGGTGACTAACACCATGGAAAGTGAGACCTTTGATAGGGGAGGTTTGGGGTAGTGTATCATTCTTTCATAATACTATGAATTCATTGAGTGGATAAATTATTTTTTGTTGAACATCTAATTTTTTCCAAAGTTCATAATATACGTAATACTTTCATTTACAATTTTGTCTATTAAGTTCATTTAGTTAGCGATTTCATTTAGTTGACATTCCTGTTAAAGTTTTAACTTATTTATAATTTAAGATTATAAATTACATTTTATTCATGTTTTTATTAATAAGGCTTTTTTTCATGTATAGGATTATTTCATCAAAATGTCATACCCAAGAGGAAAGTGGGTAAAGAAGTATAAATATTTTTGAAGTTCTTGATACATAATTCCCCTTCTGCTTTAAAAGTAGTACTCCTTTTTTCCTTATGTTTCAATGTACTCTTTTCAATACCAAGCATTATTTCATTTAATTTTTGTTAATCTCACAGATGAAAATTGTATTTCATTTTACCACATTTCTTTTACCATCAATGTACTTTTTCAATGTGTATTTTACAGTTGCATTTCTTATTTGATATACTCTATTCAGCTAGTTCTTTTTTTTAGCTCACTGTCCCGTTAAAGGGCGAAAATTGAAAATTGAGCTGAACAATAGAAAAATAATATCTGACATCAAATTTGTTACCTTTAGTCTTGGAAAAACCATATTAAATATTAACATTCAAAATATCCCTATTATCAGTACATCCTACATGACCATTGTCATTTCCAGACCTGTCTGGTTAGCTGGATCTATCAGCTCCCCTTTTTCCAATCCTTCATAATCTCCACTGTTCTTTCAGATTAAATCACAACTTAAAATACTGAAATTGTATCATTGTTTTTCCGTATTCTCCATCATGCGTTTTGCATGTCTGTAGGATAAAGTTAAAACTATCCAGGACAGCAATCATAATCTGGTTCCAGCCTAGCTAGCTAATTTCACATCCTTTATTAATGTCTTCTGTTTTGAAGTCACATTGTATCACACTCTGCTCCCTGAATATATAATTATGTAGAGCCACCCCCCAATGCAGTGGTTTCTGTTGCTGTCTCTGTGAAACATGCCTTAGCATCACTATTATTTAAGGCTCTCCAACAGCTCCAATGCCACTACTCGGTGAAAGCTTTTACAGTCTCCTTAGTAGGAATTTATGATTAGTTCTTCTAAACTCTTACAAGTCTTTATTTACACTATCTTATAGAATTTACCACAGTATGTCTTAAATTAAAATTATACATAGCTGTATTTGTTAAATAATTATTTGCAAACACATCTTCTCAAGGTTATAAACACTTAGAATGTAAGAAGTGTGCTACATTTGGTTATTTGCCCCACCATTAATCTTAATGCTTGACACTCAAATTGTTGATAAATGAATAAGTGAATGAACAAATCCCAATTTTAACTGAATGAGAGTCATCAGCCACAGGAAACAGATTATCTAGATTATTTCTTTCATACCTCCTCTAATCTGCACTAAACTCAATGACTTAATTTTGGTCTTATTAGCTTATTTAACCAAAGGTGCCTTACCTAAATTTTCTTATAACTCAAATTATACAAAATCTAAAATATAACATTTTATCCTTGGAAAAAGAAATTTTGTCAAAGAAAAAAAATCACAGTGACACAAACACAATGTTAGCACACTGCATCTAGTAAAAACACAGGGTCGCCACAGGAGGTGGAGTTTGAATAATCTAAGTAAAATCAGGTGTTAAGAGCACACAGCAGGGAACACACATTTTGATTAAGTCAGCTTGTGTGGAGAAGATCTATTTTTTGTTTTGTTTTTGTTTTGGTTCTTTTTTTTTTGGTTTTTTGAGACAGGATCTTGCTATGTCCAGGCTGGCCTTGAATTCACTGTGCAGTCAAGGCTTGTCTCTAACTTGAACCAATCCTAGTGCCTCAGCCTCCTGAGTGCTGGGATTACAGGTGTGCACCACCATGCCCAGACTGAGAAGAGCTATTGCAAAAGGTAAAGGCATACTTAAATCCACAGTTTTAAGACATTTCATTAAATAGGCAATTTCGTTTCTGCTTTCTTTCTTTTTTGGTTCCCCTAGGAACACTGCCACTTGAAAATTTAATTTGTATTGGTAGCAAATATTCCCTAAGTTAGCTAGCAATTTAGTGACGAGTTTGTAACTCAAAATGCTCTTAGTTAACTTGAATGGATGAATCTATCATTTGCTTTCACACAAAGACAGTAAATGTTGTAGGATGCTTGTTGTCTATGTAGAACTGTGCATAACAACTGAAATAATAGTCTTTAATGCTCCAAATCACCTTTGAATAGGTAATGTTAACTGTGTTGGATTGCCTGATGAAGAAGTCAGTTCACCTACCACTTCCTACACACATATGTTATAATTTTATTGTGATTATGCACATATTTCTACCCTGCTTAGGATGAAGTGTATGCAGAAGGGGACTATTAGCTATGATGAACTCCCCCTGACTTAATCTGAATATTTAATAAAGGTAGAAATTTTACTGATTTAAAAGCCCAGCAGCAATAAAATAAATTATAAAGCAAGAGGAAAAAAACCATACCTTTGAGCCAGGCGGTGCCGTCAAGCCCAAAAAGGCATACACCGCATTATTTTCTCGGGCTTCAAAGAAGGCATCATAGTCCTTGATGAAAAGAAGGCAAAAGAGTTAGGAATGTGGAATCAACAAAGGACAGGATAGTGGTGGATAGGATGAGTTGTCTCACTGAGGGAAGACAGGCTACTTTCAATAATCCTAGAATTCTGGAAAAAGTAGTCAAAAGACATGGCCCCTGGATAGCATTTAATGTGGGTTAGAAGTGAAGGACCCTAGTTAGCAAGAAAGACTCCATATTGCTGCTGAACAACCCACCTGCCTGCCCTTTAGATGAACTCAAAAGGAGGAAGCTTAGAAACCTCCTCCCCTTAGAGTCTCTTAGAAACAATTAATCAACTATTGTTTTACAAATGTTCTAACAGCAGGACATTCCGCTTCTGTACCTTTTGCTTGCTTTACTAGTTCTATCCCATAGGGGGGTCTAGAAACTGCTGGCCTCAAAGGTGTATAAAATATGTTAATCTCCCCCCAGTCCAGGCTCTGAGGCCGATGCTCGGCTGGGGTCCCGGCCGGTAATAAACTCCTGTGTGGATCTATCGGTCTCTGGTTGGTTCTCTCTCACTGGGTGTATTTTACTGTGAAATGGCAAAAAATTTTACTCAGTATCACATAGCATTTACATCTGCTTGGAGCTTTCTCCACTACTCAAACCTGCCAACTATTTCCCAGTAAGAGACTGCTGATTTCTAGTGGTAAACTGTTATTCCGGTTCCCCACATTGCTCTTTCATTATTTATTTGGATATAGATTTCCTCATATTCTACAGTAGACCATATATTAACTTTATATGACCAAATCCAGAAGAATGGTGAGTCTGTGCCATGTTTTGAACAACAAAATGAAATGTTCATGAAATGTGACCAAAAGAACAACCAAACCACTGAGAGGTTTCAGCCTTTGGAATCCAAGAGAAACCTTACACAACTGAGTTTGGTTAGGTTTCCCACTGTCATTCTCTACAGCACCAAACCTTCTACAAAACTAACGAACAGACTTACCTAAATTTGTCACTTACAAACAATCATGAACAAAATTGAATATATTGGCATTGTCTACTCCTCAACTTAATTTGTTTGATTTTTAAACAGCGAGAGAGAGAAGCTTGACATTTGGGCTGATTTGTTAAAGTTAAAAAACCTTGTGAATTGTGGCTTCTCTAGAGAATGTCTTCCCAACAGATTATCAATTATAGGGTTCTTTCTGAATACTTTTTCTTTTCTTGACACTTTGAAGATACAAAGATAAAAAGTTCAGAGCCTCTCAAGCTGATGATGATGCCTAAAATTTGAATCCTACCCCCCCAAAAAACATCAGAATGGTTATTTCCTCCATACTTAGTTTCTTTCAGCACACAATAAAAAGAAAATTTGCTTTGTGGAGGATGAGGACACTGTTGTGGTGGATTAACTAATGGTCAACCTGGAATCCCCAGCTGAAATGAGTCAGTATGATTCTGGGTATGGAAGCCCCACCTGAGAATTGTTGCCAAGACCATAAAAGGAGAACTGGAGGGGAAGACTGTATGCTGTTGATTTTCCTGGAGAAGCTTGCCATGGCTGATTTTCCTGATACAAATTCAGCTGTTCTCATTGTCAGAGGAGCTCGAGTCCTCACTATCACTAGGGATGGTTGCTGTTGTCATCAGGGGAGCTCTGGTCTTCACCTTTAGCATCGCTTCCTGGCTCCAGTGCAGATCCCTCAGCCTGGTGGCACAGATCCTTCACCCTGCCTGTGAAGACCTTCTAGCTTCCACCACTGGCTTTGGGCCTTCCCAGTACAGATTCTTGATGTAGACTTGCATGAGACATTGCAATGGGTTCTTGGCCTCTGGCTGGACTCGTGGAGGACACTGCCTTGGGCTCTAGGCCATTAGCTGGAGTTGAGCGGGACACTGCCATGGGATACAGGCCTCATGTTCAGGTTTCTAGCGTGTGGACAGATCTCTTGCACTCCTCTGTATCTGACTATTTGGGTGATTATTATAAAATAATCCTATAATTTGTGTGTCCTGTATTAAATCTATTCCCTTGCAAACCCAGACTACAACAACTGTTAAGGGAATTTTAAAAACGAGTTATACATTGGAAGAAAGTATTTGCAAAACATGTATGTAGCAAAGAACTGGCATCCAGAATAAATAAATCTCACAAAACCTAATAGATGAAAAATAAACAGCTCAATTAAGTGACTGAGAACTAAAAGGACACTTAAATAGGTTGTAAGCATGGCAAGTAGTCATGAATACATGTTCAGTGTCATTAGCTGTTAAGCAAATGCAAATTAAAATTGCCAAGTGATATCAAGACACATCTTTAGATTGTTTTTTTAAACATTAGGGCTGCGAATATAGCTCAGTGGCACATAACATGTTCAAGGTCCTAGGTACTTAGTAAAGAGAAAGAAAGAAACAAAGCTGACAATACCAAGAGCTAAAAAGGATATAATTAATAAAAAAGGATACTGTGTATTAGGAATGAGTATATATATATATATATATATATATATATATATAATGTATATAAAGTGGCAAGTCAATCTGGAAACATTTGGGCAGTTTCTTATAAATTAAAAATATAATTACCATATGATGTAGTAATCAGATTCCTTGGTATTTATCCATGAGAAATGAAAGTTGTTGTTCATATAAAACCTGGATGCAAATGTTTAAAGTAACCATAGTCATAATTGCCAAAATCTGGAACCCATAAATATGTCTATCAATGAAAGTAGTTAAACTGTAACACATATTTACAGTGTTATACTATTTGGCAATTAAAGGAACAAATTGTTGATATATGCAGCAACTTGTGTGGATCTCAAGTGCATTAAATTGAAAGAGGCCAGTCTCAAAAAGTTAAACAGTATATAAATCCATTTATACCTTCTCAAAGAGACAAAATTATACTGATGGGAACAGATCATTGTTTGCCAGGTTTTAAGGATGGGTACAGAGTGTAAATGTAAAGGATAACATGAAAGAGTTTTTTTAATGTTTCTGTATCTTGATTATGGCACTGGTTACACAAATCCATGACTGTGTTAAAATTCACAGAAAAATATAAGCCAAAAAAGTTAACTCTATGGACTGAAATTAAAACATTCAATTAAAAATGGCATGAGGAATGTATCTGTATGTTAGGGAATGTGGTAAAAATAGCATATAAATCAGACAAAATTACCCATTAAAGAAAATATGTGTATTTGTATATTTAACCAAACTGATTGTGACAAGTTAAAGACAGAAAAAGGAGTAGGGAAAGCTATTCTGGAAAAATGCAAATGAAAGGTAAATGAGATTTAACCAATTTAAAATTGAACCAAAAGATTGGAATAGAAATGCTCCAAAAGAAGATATTGTACATTGAAGGCCAATGGGCATATAAAAAATGAGTCTTTCTCAAGATAACAAGTGCTAATAAAGATGTGGAAAAATTTTTAAAAACACCTTGTGCACTCTTGGTGGAAATGTAAATTAGTGTGACCATTATGGACTTAAACATTAAAACAGAAGGTGGTCCTTCAGAACATTTAAAATAGAACTACTGTATGAAAAAATGATCTCATTTCTGAGTACATATCCAATGGAAATGAAATCATCCTATGGAAGAGACATCTACACTCCCATTTTCATGGTAGCATTATTATTCACAATAGCCAAGAAATATAAATAAGTGAATTATCCTTTAATTGATGGATAGATAAGGAAAATGCAATATATAGAGACAATGAAATATTATTTAACCCAAAAAAAGCAGAAATTCCATCATTTGTGACATGGATGAACCTGAAAGATGTTAAGTTAAATGAAATATTCCAATCATAGAAACACAAATACTGTATATTCTCATTCACATGTAAAATCTAAGAAAATTGAGCTCATAGAAGTAGAGCATAGATTGGTGGTAACAAAGCATATTCTTACTTCCCCTGAATTCACCATTCAAAAGTGAAACTAACCGGATCTAGACACCAATTCTATGCTGAAGTAGATAACTGATAAACCAATGTAGTCAAATCATATATAGCAAGATTTACACTTTACATTTGGAAATAACCTCAAAATACTAGTTAAAACAATCAAGGAGTCAAATAGGTATTTTTTTTTATCACAAAACAACTAAAATAACTTGTGTCAGTCATCTGATTCATGTGAAAGAAAGTAAGTCTTCAACTGTATTCAAATCTTATCATGTAATTCTATATAGGGTAGTCCAGTTGCTTCTATTTTAAGTATTTTATAGTCAAATTCTATGATTATTCATTGGTTCCAGCCATAGGAAACACGAACAGGTTTGTGAATCTGAGCGAAGAAAACATGTTTTTTAATTAAGTCAAATAAATTCACATATTCCACAAATATTTATTGAGCACATACTATATACTAAGCACTGTTCTTGGTGTTAGAAATGTAAGGGTACACAAAACAGACTATGACATAGTTTTTACTATCTATAGGAACTATCTTTCAGAAAAAAAGAAAAATTAATTTATTTGCATCTATGACATTCCAATAGCATTAATCCAGAATATATTTCACCATATATTATTAGTATATTATCATTATATGAAAATGTATTTCACTTCCTCATATACATAGCATAAGCTCTTTTAGAACAAAGATTATTCTTACACATTTTGTATCTTCTATAGCTGAGCCTCACATATGTAGGCAGGCTAGTAGTTTCTATTATGTTCCACTCAGGAAATAAGATTCTAAGCCATAGTTCAAATATAGCATCTCTGGGACCTGGAATCAAATCACCTGGAAAACAACAATTTTGTGAAGACAAAAAAGGAATTATGTGTCTACGAATCAGGAGCAAGCTTACAGGAAAACTAGAAACTAAAAAGAATCCTGACAATGGAGGATAATGCAGAGAAAAGAATGAAGGAGCCTGGGAAGCTAACCCCAGGTCCCTGGGAGGGGCCATGTCTCTACTAACACAAAGTAAGCTCAAAGAGGTTTGGCAGCTTCAGGAAGAAACCATCAGGCCAGGCCAGCAGTGCTAGTACCAATAAAAGCCCAC